TGACAGCACCGCCAGCCAGGCAGTAGGTCTTCGAAAGTGAAATCCATTTGCGTTTTGTACAAGAGCAGCTTTCTGATAAACACGGAGAGTTACCCCTGGCGAGTGCTGTGGCAAGCGGGACACTATCACGTGAGGCTGCCTGCGAGGGAAAAGTTTCTCTGCTTTTCTACTCTCATTAAAAAAATACTAGGAAAAACACACTTATGAGAGAATCCAGATAATTAATATAACACACTAAAGACTCGAGGGTTTTCTTCCCCTCCTTTAGAGTAGTCGCTTAGTTAACTGCACATGATTTAACATTTCCATACAACATTTTAATTCAAAGTAAACTATTTTCTGCTGTGATACTTGGTTAAAAGACCCGTATGGCAGATTTATAGTTATTATTAAAACTTGATTCCATGAAGCTTTAGGAAGACTTTCAAAAGCATATATCTGAATTCCACATCTACTTTGTCTTTCTCTTTCCTCCCCTGACTCTTCACACGCATCTGTTCTGCTATTTTAGCACGTGACAAGCAGAGCCCTGCTGACTCCTCTCGCAATCCTGCAGCCGGTGCTTTGGCAGGTGAGGCCACTGAAAAGGCAGGCTTAGAACGAGTAAAAACAGTGGCCACTAACACCACAGGGGTATTCTGAGGGACTCGAGCATTAGGTCTTCTGTGAAACTTGCTTTGTTTAACCAAACCCAACTCTCTACGAATTGAGCTGCTGGACCAATCAGTCTCTTTAGTATCGTACTTGCTGCATTAATAGTTTGATATAAGATACTACCCAAAACGTCTTTTTTTAGCATACAGCTGAGGTAAAATCAGATGATACGTGCTACCTGAGCAATCTATAATGTAGAACAAAAGATAGATAGTTTATACTTTGGGTGTCATCATAGCTTTCATGTATTTCAGAGCAATTCTTTTTTTTTTTTTTTAGAAGTGTGTACTTAAAACATTTGGTCTCACTAGCAGCAACTGACAGCATTATACCTGTGCCCTGGCAGGATACAGAGGGTGAAATATTACCATGTTACTCACAAACCTCGGCCTCAGCTCTGGACGGTATTTCAGCACACACCTAAATACTTTCATTGAACAGCCACACCTTTCTAAATTGAAACCTTAGTCTGGAAGACAAACATTCTTCAGACCTTGTTTGGCAATGTCAGTGCTGGGCACCCAAATCATGCTCTGTAGCATTTAAATGCAAGCACTGTGTAAATAAAAGTAAGCAACATGACAAACTTACTTTAGGCCAGTGTTCCAAACTCAACACCTGGCCTAGGAAGGAAAAACCCTTCCTTTTTTCTGTGGGTTTAATGTAGATCTTTTAGTAACTCCCACTGGAACATTAACAACCATTTCACTGAGACAAAGCTGGTAGCATAGCCTTTATCCTGATTTTTACTTCTCATTTTCACTTATCTCTAACTGAGGTTATTTGAACTCAAGCCAGACACAGTATTTTGGCCATCACAACAAACTATACTGCAGAGAACTGTGTTCTGCAACCTACAGACATCAAAAAGTAAGCCGCCTTGTCCCTTCCTCTCTGCAAAATTTCTCAGAAGAACATAAACTAAAATAAACCAAGCCAAATTTCCTACCATGTACTTGCCTCTAATCAAAAGAAGTTAGCAAAACGAGACAAATTTAACTTGGAATATCTGATTATTCAAACTATTTTTAGGTTTTCAAAATGGAAACATTAGCACAAATGTTACTTAAGCAAGCAAAATCACTGTTTTAAACACCGGACTGCTTATATGAGCAACAGAATCTTAAAGCCACTTCTCTAACGTCCTGGTCCAGGTTGCTTATAGCCAGCTGACAGAGCACGCTGTAACTCGAGTCTCAGATGCTGCAAGTCACAGTTGTGGAATTCAGCCCTCCTGTAATCATTCAGGGAAGAGTTTAAAGTAGAACGTGCTCATTATAAGGCTCTTGGGGAAGTATCAAAACTTGATAAATTCAAAAATTTTTGAAGTATCTGAAGCCAGATTCCCTTCAACCAGTGGCAAGGAGAAGCACCCTCAGATTAGACTGGTGCTTTGGTTCCATCTTTCCCAGGTACAGGTAAAAAGCAGAAGAAAATCGGCCTCATCGCTTTTTGTTAGAAAATAAAGAATATTGAGGTAATGAAAAACAAGATAAAATGTTCAAAAATCATCTGCAAATACAGAAATACTCTCTCTGTTTGCCCAGCACTAAAAATTATCTTGTTAATCAGTATTCAAAGGGTTCTGTTACAGGCACTGAAAACAAAAGCAACACTGCTAGAGCTGATCAGCCACAATCTCCCGGGACTTTTAGTGCAGTTCCATACGGTGTTCACCCCGTACCCCGATCAGGGTATTGTGCACTTCACAGAAGAATGCCCATACATGCTCACAGCTGTACTGAAGCAGCATTCTCGCTATCACCTGGCTAAACGTGTCACTTTAATCCAAAGCACTAATTAAGACAATTACAATGGAAGCTTTTCTCTCTCATTACCTAATTCTGCCATGGACACAGTTGGAGAGGTCTCCCCATTTGTAAAAGAACAATAAGGGAAGAAGCCCGATGCTGGTGTGTAGTCACATATTGGTTCTGGTTTGATTCCATTAATATCAAGACCCGACTGATCTGGAGAAGGCTGTATGTCTAAGTAGAAGCTGCTAACTGCAGAGTCTGCTTTGCTACCTTCAGGGGTATGCCCATCAATGTAATTACTGAGGTCATCATGTAGCTCTGTTAACCCATTGGTGGTGATATTGTATGTTGGTGTGAGTGGTTCTGCCTCTCCGGGTTGCTGCTGATGATCTCGCTGCTGCTGCTGCATTCGATGTTTCTGCACCTCCGCGTACAGGCTGTCCCTCTGCTTTTTTGACATTCGACCGAACTTTACAGCTGAAACACAGACATACAATACGTTACATTTCTACAAATCTGCTACGGCTTTTTAGTTGCCTTGGGTCTTTAAATACTACCCCTAAGGACACAGTACAAAAGGCCAATCAGCAGGATGGGCCGACCTGAGAATCACTCTGTCAGTGACAGGTAACATAGCTGCAGCATTTACTCTTTAAAAGACCATTTTAACAGGCTACCTGAACGGAGCATGAGAAGTCACTGGTTTAGCTTACTCCATTAACTTTCCACTTCTCTACTGAAAAGATTTTCTCTTATTTATCTACTAAAGCTGACGGATGCATCTCTTCAGCATTCAAATCCTACCTGGAAAAGTAGAAGCTGAACCGGTATATGCTGGCCTGAGATGAACTGTCCGATTCCTACTAGCTCTGTATTCCTGCTATGGAGTGAACCTACAGTTAGGTATAAACACATGGGGTCCATCTCAAAGAGCACCAAAAGCAAGCTTTAGTGATACTAGGACCGAAGCACATGGGAAGAACCACAGAACTTGCTTTCAGAGCAGCTTACTGTGACAAGCCAAAAGGTTTACCCGGTGAATTATTGTTAAAACTATATGTTTGTATGTATGTGCACAGGCGTGTATAACTCTCCACAAAATTATTACTACTTTGAGAAGTATTACTATTAAGTGTAAGCCAGAAGCAACTGGTTTGGCACATCCAGGCAATTCCTAAGAACATGGTATGTGATTTCTGGGACCAGTATCAGCTGTAAAAACCTCATTGTTTAGGAAGATGACTACCACGTTGTACTTTTCTACAGGAAAGCAGACATGTCGGAGCAACTAGTCATTACATGATCAACCATTTCAGGTTTTTAGTTTCATGCCCAATAAATAAGACATTGTAATTCAAGAAGTAAACGTAATCTGAAAACCACCTCCTTAATCGGGCCTCATGTACACAGAGTAATGCATATGTATTGTAGAACACGTAGCACTGCTGTCACTATTGCAGCGGAAAAGACTGAGTCAGATCTTCAAACTGGGGAAGCGATGGCAGCTTCATTACATCTATGGGGGAGATGTGCAAATATCAGCTGCAAATCCAGTTCTGAGTTACGCACGCTTCCATTTTACAGAGGTGGGTTTTCATCATTACACTAGGTGTCATTTTGAGATTAATATTAACAGCACTGGAACACATTTTCTTCAGAATTCTATCTTTGAAAAAACACTGCACTACTTTCTCTTTACTTTTTTCCATTATTCATTACACAGACTTTTAAACTTCTCTGGAAATTGTGAAACAGTTCTGATCTGTATCAATATGGCAATCAGAGTGCACTTACAACTATAGTATGTCACTTAAATTATGTGTGTCTCTGTGTCACACAGAGGGAAACTATTAACAATAGACTAAAAACTGCATCTTCAAGAAATGACCAGAGGCAAAGCTCATAGCTGGGAACTATGATAGATGAGTAGGAAAAACCAAAAATCCAAGAACTTCATGCACACCCTGATTTATGTATATTTGTGTGAAGAGATAGCAACATATAAATACCACTTGGTGATCTGAACTATCAGCCTGACGCACAATTAACTTTTAAATCCTACGTTGTTTTAGCTGAACACACAGCATGCTGAACATGATTTTACTGTTTGCAATTAAGCTATGCGATAGCAGAGCTTACCATCTCGAGACATCCCCACAGCAAGGCATTTCTGTAATCGACAGTGTTGGCAGCGGTTCCTACTGGTTCGGTCAATCAAACAGTTCTTCTGCCGAGGACAGGAGTAGGTAGCATTGCTTTGCTGACTCCTCCTGAAAAAGCCCTGCAATAGAATTGCAAAATACAAGTCAAGAAGCTGTTAACTGGTGGAGCAAACAAAGACTGAAAGGTAGCATACCTAACAGAGAATGAAGTTCAAGTGCACTATAGTCAACTAAAGGAACTTAAGAGGTTGGGTTTTTTTCTCTCCTAGAAACAAACAAAACCCAGTAACTAGTAGGAAACAGTTCATAAAAAAATGTTATGACATGTAAAGGAATTATACATTTTTTCACTGACTTTCCAGATCCCATATTACATATGGTACACCGATTCTTTCCAAATAAGATAAAACTAATTGCAGGCCTTGATTTCCTATCGTTCCTGGGTCAGCATTGATCTCCCAAATAGGGAGGATTCAACAGCTAGTTAATCCAACAGCTGCTCCCCTGTTCTGTTCATCGGAGGTGACAATAGCAGGCTCTGATGTCCGGCCTCACTAATGTATGTATGTGTTTAAAAATCACAGAGCACGATGCCGAGCAGTTCCTTCTACAAAGAACAATTTTAAAAAATATTGTTTCTTAATTAGTTTGATGCTGACAACCAAGGTTTTGTCCAACTAGGTGCAGGATTTAGATTTTTAAGGAGGGGGAAAGCTGAAACTGGTTTTATGGACTAGCTCTTTTCTGAGGCAACTGCAACGGGCAGACCCACCTCCAAAGAAAGTCAGCGCTGGAAGGTTACGCAGTAGTTACAACTTAGTTCTCTCCATCAGAATGGTGCATGTTATTAACCACTACGCCAGCTGTTTGCTTTGAAGTTCATTTCATCTTTTTGCCACAGTCTGTCCAAACATAAGCGGTGTGTGTGTAATACCTACTTCACAAGGATTCTGCGAAGATGTAGTCATTCTAAAGAGGCATTTGAGATCAGTGAGCACAGTAGTTTAGTTTTATGTTGCCACATAATGGATTAATTAACAGCACTGCAAAGAAAATACTTCATCAGAAAGGCTGGGCACCTTTTAATTAAAGTTGGACTTTTACCAGTTTTTTTATTTATTCGAAGACCGGCTCATGCACACTCTGTCCAGACACTTGGTGAAATAAACAACAGGAAAGACTTCTGCATGACAAGTAAGAGACGAGACTTCCTAGCAAACTTCCTGCAGATAGAAACATGAAAAAACACTGAGATAAAGCCCCCTGCTCTATCTTATAAGGAGGGCACCAGCCTTCGCCAATTATGTCCCTTTTATTAAAGCTTTAATGGGGAAACATGGAGAACAAAACCAAAGAGGAAACTGAAGATGCCTCTCTTCAGTTCTGTTTTCCTGTATGTTATTTCTCACCCGTTTATTCTGGTCTTTGCCCCTATATGATTGAACTTTCAACTGTTTTTCGTTTGTCAATAGTGAGATGATCGTCACTGAGACTGAAAGTATTGCACATATTGAGCTCCGATTGAGTGCATTTCACCCTAAAGAAAACGTGAAACACCACATCTATGTAAAACCTGAAAACCTGTCTACCATTCTGACATCATGAGCGACCCCTCTGGAGGAACCAACCCTTAGGTAAGTAGGTAGCTTAATTTCCAGTTCTGTTAGCACCCTTAGTGGAGCCTGTCACCCCAGTGCAAGCACACATGCAAGAGCAATGTGATTCACTAGAAAAACAGGATGAGGTATCAGCCTGACCGGTAACTTACTGATCGAGGTTCTGCACTTCCATGTTATCAGTCCCTTAAAATTCCAGTTCTCCAAACACTTTACAGTTGCACTGAACGACATGCTCACCTATGAACCGCATGAAATCTGCCGCCACTGAGATCCTGAAAGTCAGCTTAGTCAATATGTAAAATGAACCCGGCCCAATAACCTCAAAGATCTACATGTTTTCCTTTAGCTGGATGTATACTGAGTCTGTATTGCCAGTGTGGCTTATTTCTCTTTATTAAGCATATTGTCAAGCCGAGGATTATTTTTAGTGATATAATGGAGAAAATACTGGGCTGTTTGCTTTTCCACATTTTCCCTAGAGACACAGCTGCTCGATACATTTTAGTGTACAATATATCAGCTAAGTTACAGCTTGAAGCTAAATTTTCAATAGAGCAGAACTGCCTGAAACTGGGGCCTTTAAAAGCACTTGCACTTCACCAACCAGAGCGCTTTTAAAAACAAACCCTACAACGTTTTCTCGGCATGTTGAAAACATCACCAGTAGCTAAAGCCAAAACCAAAAAGCCTTGCCTCGCACTTCAGAAATGAATCTAAACTTGTCCAGAGCTCAGAAACGGACATACCTGAGATTTGGGATTGAACTGACAATGAAAGCAAACAGCGGGTTTTTTACTCTGAAAGTTCTATATTGTTGTCATTTATTCGTGAGTTTTCTAACCTTTTGGTGGTTCTTGGGCTCTCATATAAGATATATGGGGAAGCCCTTATTACAGGAGCCTTCTGTAAATAAATATAGTTTCTTCCTAGGCTGTTTCTTTTTCCCCTTCTTATTAGAAGAGAAGGAGAGATGCTATATTCTGTTGTTCTATTTCCTCTCTTTCGCCAGAGGCACAGAGCTAGCTATAATTTTTCCACCAGGAAGGAGGAGGTGGAGGCATGCATGGTAGTACACGTGTATACATTCAAGCATTATGTAAACCAGCCAGGCCACATGCTCTTAATTGCATGCATGTTCACAACCATTATTTCACATTCAGGCATTGCCTAATGGCCCACGGGCAGAGTGGACCCCTCTTGATCAAACACACGAGTGAAACTCCTCCTGCACTGAAAGAGTCACCGGTGGCACAGTCTGAAGCGGGGTCTCTGGCAGAGAGCGCTCCTGCGAGTGCACGGAGCCTGATGTCAGCATAAAGATCCAGCTGACTGCGGCGAGGCGTCACTGGGCTTTGCATGTCTCCCTTTTCATGTAGGTTTATTAACACAGCGCCAGAAGAAGAGCAGAGCAGATTACAAGCCATAGTTTCATCTCTGCATTTCAGACTCCTATTTCTGTACAACGCAATACATGGGTTTTCATAGGCTGCCAAGAAATCAAGTTGAGGAAAAAAGGGCGCAAGAACTTTTCATCTGCAAGTCACTTTGAATAACAACTTGTTAAAAAATAACTTTGAAATGTAAATAGCAGTTTTCGCAAAGTCTATTAATAGTTTCAATAACTCCACTGCTCCGTGGCTCGGCATTACAGGATTTTTTCATCCAAGTTTGCTCCCTAGTGGGGGGGAAGTCAGTTGTGCTTCCCTGACGTCCCCACGGCACAGCACAGACTCCCCCTCCGCTGCAGCACAGGCTGAAACACTGATCTCATGTTTGGTCTTTTGACAAATTTTCATTTAATGAATTGATTCCTACAGTTCATTAACATACCCACTTCCACTTCTGTATACACATATGTCTTAATTAGCTGCTCATTGGCTGTTTAATTACAAGAAAACAGCTGACAGCTGCCTTGCTGCATCCTAATGGCAGACGTTTTGGAATGACTGTATGCAAGCCTGTGACAACAAAGGCTTATTCATAATCCCATGATTTATGGCTAATACGTAAAGACTTCCACGTATCATTAAGTTTTGCAATATTCTAAGCAATTAACAATTAATTGAGGGGGTTCATTCTTTTACTGTTTTCTAAAGCAAACTCACAAATTTTCTTCAAAGAAACATCAGAAAAATACACTGTCATATGAAAGACAAGTGAACATTCAAATTGGGTTTTTAACCCTTCTATGACAATAAGCACATATTTTACTCTTAAAGGGAGAGTGCTGCGACAATATTGTTTAATAGACTTTGTTAAGAAACTATTTGGTAACAAAGTTATAGTGCCTGTGAAAAAGGAGAAAAAAACGTTTTTACATATGTAATAAAGACAGGAGTGAGATTGTGCTTAGCAGGTTATACAAGGCTTCTGACTAGGCCTTTCTGTAACATGGCTCATCTCTTTACTGAAATGTTTTGCTGGAAATTGACTAGGCAAAAAACTCAAAAAGGAAAAACTTCACAAGCATGAATTTGAGCTAAATATTTGGAATACCAATTTGACACTTCATGTTCAACAGAGTAACAAAAATTGTCTATAAAGAAAGTGAATGAACAAAATGAATGAACAAAAGTAATGCAAGATGGGAAGTGACAATACACCAGGTATTGTTTTCCAAAGCAACACACATGGACATTCCTTGTGGTTACAATGAACAAGACCATCTCAGGTCTTAAAAAACACTAGAGACAAAAGCGAGTACCTATAAACCTTCAAAAACAGAAGAAATGCCCAGAAATGCCCTGCATGGATGGTGTTATGAGACCAACTGTGTAGGGTCAAGTAAAGGGGGAGATCATACTGATGACTGTGGGTCAGTTGGGCACGAACTGGTACTATTGACAGCAAAAGCGGTAACTGCATCTGCAAATTAAAAGACATAGTTCATTAAAAGAAACTTTGTTTCAAACGAAATGCTTTGCCTTGTGCTTTTGAAGCATTCAGGTATTTTCTGACAATGCTGAACTGGATTCAAGTTTCAGCTATGAGAAACAAATATGGATGTGCACAAACCAGCCTCCTTTCTCAGCATGGTCCCTAACATAGAGCAAAAAGTTGTTAAGGGATTCTCACAACAAATGGTTGAGGAAGTACTCCACACAGATACTATTTTTTTCAGTAGTGCTACTACAACAGTAGTTTTCCCCTCTTACACAGGAGAATAAACTTTTATTTCTGAGTCATAGTACAGTCTTTGTGTCCTTCTTCATTTGTGCTTCTGAGTAAAAGTCTTATATGATTAATATCTTCCCTTGTCCCCATTATATGTTGTATACTAGGTATCAGCAAAGGTCAGACAGAAAAAACCCCTCTCTTTTAAAATGTATTTTATTTATAATAAGCCACAGAAACCCTCCTAGGTAAAGTATAAATCAGAGCCTGGTTAAAAACTATTTTTTTTCACTAGGGGGAAAAGAGGAGGGGGCGTTAAATTTGATTTTTTAAAGGCAGATTCCAGTTCAGCTAAATGGGTTGACAGCTGGGGGTACTCAATGATGTTTGTGCAAAACACAACCACTAACTTCATAAAAACAGCCAGTACCATCGTAGCAAGGTAGGAAATGAAAACTTCTCAAGAAACACTCATTGGCCTAATTACAACGCTTCAATTCTAGTTATGTGAAACTCAATGTAACAACAAAAACCAGTCAGAAAACTTCCAATTATTTGAAATGCAAGGGTCACAGACCTGTGGAAGTGTAACAGGAGAGCAAAAGTCAATTTGACAAGAGCTGGTCTGTGGTTTCCTACATGATACAGATTACAATTGCAAAGTAGGTCTTTGCAACTAAAACTTCACTTCAGGTTTTAAAGAAATTATATTTCTCGTGGTTATTAGTATTTACACAGTAACACTTAAGTTAATAGTAATGTTAAGTAACAATAAAGTTCACACCAAACTGGAGCAAAACCAGTCAGAGCTGAAATCATCCCACTTCGCTGCTGCTGCTATCACTGCCTGTAGATCATTCTTGACAGGCGTGGCTCGAGAGGGCAGCAGCACATCTGTTCATTTCTGATGACTAAGGCCATGATCCCACAATCCGATGCACACGGATGGGTTTGCAGCACCTGTGCAGAACCTCACTGGCTTCTCTGGGACTGTATGTTGGTGCGGGACATTGGCTCCAGGAATCAGAGCACAGGACTGGGAACTAGGTCTTCATAGCAGTGTACTTTTTACAGAAGAAGGCTTAGCATAACATGAAGAGCAACGTAAGCATGCTCAAACCTGCAGAGATCATAGCCACAGAAAAGCTGGGAAAAAAAACATACCAACACACACCTGGCTCATTTGGCAGAAGCCAAGTGATGCCAGCTTTTTCACCAGCCAAAATACTTC